CCCCCGAGTGTTACGTATTAGAGAAAGGACACCGACTCGAACTAATGAAGGTAGACCACCTTCACTCTAGATTACCTGCACGTTACCAACATAAGGGTAACATTCAAACAGAAGGGATGAGATACCTAACAATATAATAAAACGTATGATAAATAATATGTTAGATCAGCTCATATAATAACACCACTTCACATCTCATAAACAACAATAATCGCAACAGAATACCAATAATATACATATTTACCGCATCAATAAACAACTTCTTTATGCAATCATATGATATGACTCAATACTATGCAAATGCATATGGTACCATTGGAGAAAAACTCTCATCTCAAAATAATTGCCAATAAATAGAGGCATCAACAAGGCATAAACCTTCATCTTAATATTCGCCAATACAGGCCATCTTAACGAGCATCAGCTCTATCTTGATATGCAATGTATGCGACACACTAATGAATGTAGTAATAACAACCACAATCAACAACATCTCAACGCAACATCATCGTTGGCTAGAAGCCTACATCTTAATAGCTGCCAATTATTAGAGGCATCTCAACATCATTCATCAACATAATTCATCAACATGATTCATCAACATAATTCATCAACATAATTCATCAACATAATTCATCAACATGATTCCACAGCAACTCAGCCGTAACAACAATACAACGACAGATCGATAATCCCTCAACATTGGCCATAGGCCTACAACATGATAATACCTATAATTAATTAATCATCTAAGGCTTATCTCTAACTACCAAACCTCTACATATTATTATTCTGTAATACTACTTCATTATCATCATTAATCTTACTGTTATGAACCAAGCAATAATCTATAATCATTTGATCCTCCTCATACTTCACAAACTCCTCATAACGGTTAACATTGGAAGCTGACTCTAATCCTAATTTGGGTACTAGGATTATTCCTCTTATCCTTCATTTTAATCCTTAAGAATGAAGTTCATTGTGTTATCTCTCCAACACTTCAAATGGAACCTCAAACGGAGTCCGGAAACTCAAGTTACAACATTTGGAAACAAATCTGTAAAAAATCAGACTACATGAGTCGACGCGTACTGGGCTGAAATTCTGCATGAGTCGACGCGTAATCCCCTTGTGTCGACTCATAATGAGTCTGAAACACTGCATGTATCGACACATGATCCTATGTATCGACTCATCCTGAGTCTTAAATCCTGCATGTGTCGACGCACGGCCTTTGAGGTCGACTCATACTGACCTGTGCTGAATATTTTCTGCGATTTCACTGTGTTTTCACTGCGATTTCCCTACCCTAGGTCCTAAAAACATCCTCTAATCATAGGTAATCATCAATTATAATAATCATATGTTTCTACATCAATTATACAGTATTAGGGCATCATCATTCATCTCTAAATCGTTGATCCTCATCAAACAACAATATATATATATATATATATATATATATATATATATATATATATATATATATATATATATATATATATATATATATATATATATATATATATATATATATATATATATATATATATATATATATATATATATATATATATATATATATATATATATATATATATATATTTTTTTTTTTTTTTATTTCAATCATAAACAAAAAAACTGTTCACATCTAATCCCACATACTACTCATCATAAACCCTATTATAGAGTCATAACCCCACCCTTACCTTGGATTGAAGGTTGCTCTTAAATATCTGGCAGTATGTTCCACTGTCGACTCTCTAGATTCTCCCCTAAATTTCGTATACTTAGGGATTTTCCATCATCTAGGGTTTTTAGTTTGTAAAATATATTCAGACAAAGGGGTGGAATACGTTGGCCTCTGAAGTGCGGTATTCATACCATTTCTAGCCATAATTCTTTCGACAATGGTGGTTAAATTATTTTCAACAGCTAAGTCCTCTTGTCGAATTTGATCAACAATTTGATCAGCCTCTTGATGTCGATGTACTAATACCCTAGGTGGATCGACAATCAAATTCCTTAGAGGCACTATCATCTTCCCCTTATGGACAGTTTCGTCCTGCATTATCCCCATGTCTATTTGACCAGGGGCATATAGTCGAACAGGTGGTGCCTGTCGAATAGGCGCTGGGGGAGCACCTAAAAACTTACACAAACGTGTTAATTGGGAAATCACCTGTCGATTTGTTTCAGCGGACTGCCTATTAGTCTCAGTCGACTCTTGTACTATGGGATTAAATATATTACCTATTTGGTTAGTTAACATATTAACTAACTCGTGGTTGCTATCACTCATTTGTTGCCTTAATACTGCTAATGAAGTATTACTAAGAGGTGGTACTAAAGGTTGAGAAGGCACTATCCTATTTTGGTTGCCTCTATTATTTCCCCTAGCGCAAATCCTTGTAAAGGAGAGTTCAAATTTTGAACATTATCTGACACCACTGTTGTATTCGACGTTGACTGATATCCTGGAATCATGGAATACGGTGTTCCATAGGCTGGATCTACATTACCAAAACGAGGCACATTAGGTATGGTAGTCGTAGTCATTACTGGTCTTGGGCTTCCCGGTGGAACCTGAGACATTTGTACGGAAACTACAGTAGTCGACCCTACTGGAGGAAAAAGTGCTAGTTGAGAAACTACTGGATTGATAGTGATTAAAGTTCGTGACGGTATTTCGTTTACGTTTAGATTATCAGGAATCGTCATTCTTGGTATCTGCTTCCTAGATAATGGTTTATTATACTCTTTGGTTAACTTTCCATTTCTAAGTTGCATTCACTTATAAATACTTAAGACCAATTCTTAGCACTGGGTCCCACCAGGTGTTCTAATTTGTTTACTGTAGAAAATGGTAAACAACCGTTGTTCCTCCCAGAGTCCTAAACTGAGGGTAAGTTGCGAGATCGACCAGTTGATCTCAAGACGCGTGCTAAGAGTTTTTACTATCACACCTATTTCGTCGAAATATTAGTAAAGGGAAATGGTTTTCTTTTGACTGGGGAAACAGGTGCAATGGTTTTCAACACTATGATTTAATCGATTGACTGGTGACTCGTGACCGACAGAAGATATTCATACAAAAGCGAGACTCACTAAACTAACTGACTGGTGACTCGTGACCAACAGATAGTGTCGAATTGTTTATGTGAAATAGAAGATAACGTATAGATCTTGCTCGACAGTAAAGAGAAAATAGATAAAGTACTCAAAAGATATAATTGAAAGATAAAGGATTTGTATTAAAATAAAAATGGTGATTCACGTACATCAAACACTCTTCACTCTTGATTTCCTGACGCTCGGAATGAAAAAGTTTGACAAGTGATTTGAGAGTATAAGTGAACACCCGCAAATTATATTAAATCTGCCTATTTATAGTGTTTACAATGTAACTACCTAGATAAAATCTACGACTAATATTAACATCTTGAGGTAACTGCTTCACTAGATGTTGCCACCTATTTGGCGCTCAAACACATCGTAGATTGCTGGTAACTGCTCATGATTTTGAAGTTCCACCTATTTCGCGCTTGAACACGTCGTGGATTGCTGATAACCGCCCACGATTTCTCTAAACCTGTTGAACGTAAACCGCTTCTGCCTTGCTTCGACACTTTCTTTCTGGAAAAGTATAACCACACTTCCTCTAAGTCCAAGAAACCTTTTTTTATCGACTAAAACCATTTTCGACCAAGTCCTTGTCTTTTATCCTTTGGTCGACTAAACCAATTTTAACCTCCTGACATATGTTCTTTTATTTCTTCCTAGTCGACGTAGTTCGATTTCGACAGTTTAAGTGTAATTCCTTTCAAGCATTAAATCTAACTTAATAAAACCAGCTTTTCAAACACTGACTCCCGTTTTCTAGAAAAACTCTTATTTTGGAGGATGACTCTTAGCTTATGAGAACATCTTCATTTACCACATGTACTTGAATACCTTAAGATTTTCCAAGATAACACTCTTATTTCAATAATTGACAAAAAGGCCACCAAGATCAACATTTGAGACTTAGATAAGTAGTAATGGTTACGATCGACGCCTCAGATGAGACATTGAATCAATAACACCACTTGAATGCACTTGAGTACCCTAAGGGTGTCGCTTCCACTTGAACTCTTTCTCGAAGTAATGTTTCGGGCTTGATGCCACCAACTTTCACTCAGCTTCTCAATGGAACTTTTCCTCTTCCCGAAGCACTCCTCCAACAAGTTTGCACTCCCAAAATTGAACTCACTCAGTGTTCGGTCTCAAAACTCTTATATCAACAATCCTCGCTTCATATTTAGTTGCAAGAACTCGGGAAACAATTATTTGTGATGGCCAACGACCCAATAAAACCGGTACAACATAGAGGCCTAATTCATTTAAAAGCTTCAACTTAACTGGTGAACAAGTGGACACCCATATTGAAGTCCCGCACTAGAGTATGGCACCGCCCTCATCTCAACCATTGATACTCATCCATCGTCATCCCATGTCTCACGCCGTATTTACCGGTGACAGTTTTAATTGTGATCCCTATATAATCATGACTTTGTGTCACGCCGAGAGATAATTCATTCATACACTTACAAATTTTACCCCTTCCATTTTACTAACTTAAACGTAAGAGTACTAATCTTGCATTCATCTCTTCGCTCATCGGAGACATCTACGACAGTGCCGGAGAACTTTCTACTGTGGTTATCACCATCTACAACTCATTTTCCACACCCGAATAATAGTTTATTAAAAAAATGTTTGCTGCTACCGCAGATCACTGAATACTTCCCAATTTACATGTGCAATAACGTTTACAATGGCACCTAGTTAGCCTTATAATCAAATATTATTCATAGAAAATCCAACCTTCTCCTTTCTACATTTGAACTTCCATTTTTAATTGTAAACTTTCACCTTTATAAATCTCATTAAGGTGTCAACTTCTAACAATAATACATATTTGAACCTTTCAAATCTACCTTGACCTATCTATAACCATGATTACCGGTAAGGATATGTACGATGTTTTCGCTGCGATTGTACCGTTATATGTTGCTATGATATTAGCATATGGTTCAGTTCGTTGGTGGAAAATCTTCACACCAGATCAATGTTCTGGTATAAACCGCTTCGTGGCGGTTTTCGCAGTTCCGTTACTATCTTTCCATTTTATATCTTCCAATGATCCTTATGCTATGAATTACCATTTCATATTAGCTGATTCACTTCAAAAAGTAGTTATTCTTGCTGCACTTTTTCTATGGAACATGTTCACAAAAAACCAAGATAGTCTTGATTGGACTATTACACTTTTCTCACTTTCAACTCTTCCTAACACACTTGTTATGGGAATCCCTCTTTTAACAGCTATGTATGGCGATTTCTCAGGAAATCTCATGGTACAAATTGTTGTTCTGCAAAGCGTTATTTGGTATACTCTTATGCTTTTCTTGTTTGAATATAGAGCTGCTAAACTACTCATTACAGAACAGTTTCCTGAAACTGCAGCTTCTATAACATCATTCAAAGTTGATTCTGATGTTGTTTCGCTCAACGGTAGAGAACCGCTTCAAACCGATGCTGAGATAGGTGAAGATGGTAAACTTCATGTTGTTGTTAGAAGATCAACTACTAACTCTATGGTATCTGGATCATTCAACAAATCTCATGTACACAACATGACACCACGTGCTTCGAATCTAACCGGCGTTGAGATATATTCAGTTCAATCATCAAGAGAACCAACGCCAAGAGCTTCTAGCTTTAACCAAACTGATTTCTATGCAATGTTTCAAAGTAAAGCGCCGAGTCCAAAACACGGTTACACAAATAGTTTTCAGAGTAATGGTGATGTTTATTCTATGCAATCTTCGAAAGGAGGGACGCCGAGGACTTCGAACTTCGAAGACGAGACGCTGAAGATGAATAAGAAGAGAGGAGGTAGAAGTATGAGTGGTGAGTTGTTTAATATTAATAATGGTTCTTACCCTCCTCCAAATCCAATGCTTTATGGTTCTACAAGTACTGGAAGAAAGAAGAAAGATAGCATTGGTGGTGGACCTAATAACAAAGAGTTACACATGTTTGTTTGGAGTTCAAGTACTTCACCAGTTTCTGAAGGGAATCTTAAACATGCTGTTAATAAAGCTCCTTCTACTGATTTGGGAACCATTGATCCTTCAAAATATGTTCCACATGGAAATACTGTTTCATCAAAAGGTACTAAAAGTAATGCCACACATCAAGTTCATTATGTTTTGTTGATTATTTTTAACACTGGTTTTGGGAATTTGAAACGCAGGTGTTAATGAATTGATTGAGAACATGAGTCCTAGAGAAAGGGATATTGAACTTGATGAAGGAACAAAGTCTCCATATATTAGCCAGCATAAGAAAATGGACTTTGAAGGAGAGAATGTAAACAAAAACAAACAAATGCCACCAGCTAGTGTGATGACAAGGCTCATTCTCATCATGGTTTGGAGAAAACTCATTAGAAATCCTAATACCTATTCAAGTCTTTTAGGCCTTATTTGGTCTCTAGTATCATTCAGGTACCAAAAATATCTTGTAAACTATTGTAAATTTGTAACAGATGAATTGTTAAAAATGTTATAAGTTTTTTATATTGTGAATGAATCATTGCAGGTGGCACATTGAAATGCCGTCGATCGTAAAAGGTTCTATCTCGATACTATCAGATGCCGGACTTGGAATGGCCATGTTTAGTTTAGGTTTGTTCATGGCATTACAGCCTAAGTTGATTGCTTGTGGAAAAAGAGTTGCAACATTTTCAATGGCGGTTAGGTTCTTAACCGGACCAGCTGTGATCGCGGCGACCTCAATCACTGTCGGTATCCGTGGAGCTCTCTTACATGTTGCAATTGTTCAGGTAAATTTAATCTCATTTTATCATCAATTAATCAAAATATTTAAATTATTAACACAATAATGTCCTTAATTATTAACATAATAATGTTTAATTTTTGGAGGCTGCACTTCCTCAAGGTATTGTTCCATTTGTGTTCGCCAAAGAATACAATCTTCATCCGGATATACTTAGTACTGCGTGAGTCTCATTTTTTCTCAATTTTTTTTCATTTATATCCCATTGAAAGAAAATGCTAAAAGAGAATTTGGTATTTGTGCAGGGTTATATTTGGAATGTTGATTGCATTGCCTATAACAATACTCTACTATGTGATTCTTGGAGTATAGTTTATTATTTTGGAAGGAATGTATTATTATTAATTGTTAGATGATATTGAATTTTATTAGAGAAGGAATGAGAAATTCATGATAGACAGTATAGCAGAATGCTAATTACATATATATTCATTCTGATCCATGTAGCAAATTGCTTTTATTTTTCACTTTTTTAGGTCAGTTAATATTAAAAACAGTTTTGAAAGTGACTTATAGTTTTGGATTTTAGTTATACCAAGTTGCTACTTAAACTGTAAATGATTAATAAACAAAAGCTAGTATTTCTCCTAGCATGGTATATTTTTGACTAAAAGTAGAGTGGATTCAAGTGCATTTGTTCAAGTCTCTTTTTCAAAATAGTTTGGCTACTCTCCAATTGCATGGGACCTTGTTCTATATTTATTTAAATAAATACTTAAAGACGATTGTCTTTAGCCATGTGATGTGACCACAGAGATAGATGATAAACAGCTCCAATTGGAACAAACGTGTTAGTTCATGTTACTATGTTATTATTGGCTTAGATGTTTAGGATGCTCCAAATATTGCATTTCTTAAAGTTTCAAGGATTTGTCTTGTTATCAAGTCATTCAATTTAGTTTAACTATTACTTGCAGCAGTGGATAAAATTGATCTACTAGAACTCGTCTCGGCTTGATTCACTAATAATTGGTTCAAGTTGAAATTCTATTTAAAATGATTTCTGTTCTCATCCATTAAGGCCGATCGATAGAGAAGATTCAACATCAAACCTCAAGAGGAAAAGCGCGGATGAAGGACTACGGGAGAAACTGGCAACGACGAAAGGAAAGTTTCACACTATTTCCAAGAAAAATCACCATCTCTCCACTATACATTTAGGGGAGTAACTAAGAAGTATCGATCTTTCAAATGTTTCACACTCTCTGAGTAGATCTCAAACATCTTAGTGCACTACTTAAGAAATATCAGATCTTGACCCCTCGTCGAATCAGCTGAGTTGTGTTGGATTTTAAAGAGATGTAAGAAGACAGGCGTAGTCGACAAACTCTTATTGTATTCACACCAATACTGAAAGATCTTGATGTAAGCCCAGCTCACTAGATACATTTGTGAATGAGAAATTAGTAAATGATTAAACACGCCGACATCGAAATTGTTGAAGGGAGTGAGAAATCCTATCAAAGAAAATAAACATTCATGAAGGAGAATGACACATTCGTCCTATTTATTGCATATCCTCTTGTTTTCTTCAAGGAGAATCCCCCATCTTCAAAAGGTCCCCCCCACCGCGAAAGCATGGTCTAGGTTTTCGACAAAAGTAGAAAAGGTATTCAGTGTGTCTTGGTCCATCCACACTGATGAGTTATCCCATGTAGCCTTCCGAACTTCAGGTTGGATGTCCTCCATTTTAAGAGATCTTGTTAACACGTGAAATAAGTGCATAAAGATAGCAACGTGAGGCAAGCTCAAAGCCCAATCAAGTGTTCCTGCTAAAATATAAGCGAAATAAGCCCCTAAATCAGCAACAATCTCTTTCATCAAACCCTATGAACTTCTTCTCAAGAAACCCTAATAAATAAAGAAGGATTTAAAGAAAGGGGGATCTAGGCATTACCTTAAAAGAAGCAAATTTGGAGCTTACACAATGAGAGAAAGGGCACGAACTTGTCGATGACTAAGGGCTGCACAAAAAACTAGAAACAACAAAAAAACCGCAAGTGAATAAGAGAAATAAAAGTTTATCAAATCCACATGCAGTGAAAACCAAAAAAAAAAATAGCGATCCAATAACTTCTTATATGAATTTTCGTATAAGTGAACTGTGTGATCTACCACGTTAGGAAATTCTAATCATGATACCATCGGTCAAGATTTCATCGGGGACTTTTCAGAGCAGTCAAGTATCTTAAGACAAAGTAAACATCATTGCCATCAGACATAGGGAAACACGTCAGAAGTTCCATGTGAAGTAATATTGATAATCAAGAGAGATTGTTGGGGAAGTCCAAGGAGTGAGGTTCAGAAGTGTCAATGGGTCAAACGTTCATGATTACAAGAGACCTTGACGCCACATATCCACCTAAAACTTTAAGACAATGGGGATATGTGCTACATATCTTAAAAACCCAATATTTCCTCCATTCCTAGTCGATATGGAACTTTAGCACAAATTTCACACTTGAAACTCAACCATCTCCCCTACAAGTGTGAGTCACTCACATCAATAGCCTTTATTCACACTAGGATTCATTTCCGCTCCTCACCGAGTCAACCAGGACTCTGATACCACTTGTTAGAACATAAACGCGATTACATATCAGAGTGGAGAGAAACACACAAAAGTTTTGTCCATACAGTTCGGTCAAATTACCTACGTCTGCGACTATATACTAGCTAAAGTTCCATGTATTTATATGTTGTGAATTTTGCATATATATTACAATGTTATAAGCCATATATATAATATAAGGTTTTCTTTTACCTAAAACCCTCGTCTCTAGTTTCCCTCAACAAACAATTATTTCTACCTATAATTATCTCAACAATATGAGTTATTCTCTCAACAATCTATAGTTATCTCAATAACCCATAATTATCTCTCAACAATATGAGTTATACTCTCAACAACCCATATCTCAATAATCCTAATCATCTCAACAATATAAGCCATATTCAACAATCTCCACCTTGGCGAATATCAAACCCTTACGAAGACTTCTTGCATAATGATTTGTCTTGGAAACTGGGGAGGTACACCTCCTTCTTGACACTGAGAAATATGTAACCAGTTCAAACAATGTTTAACTTGTCACTGGTGATTTACTTGATCAACATATCATCTACATTCTCTGAAGTGTGAACCTTCTGAAGTAATATTTGTCTGGACGCCAACAAATCCATGATGTTGTGGAACCTCACATTAATATGTTTGGTCCTAGCATGATACACCGAATTGTTCGCCAAATATGTAGCACCCTAACTATCACAATCCAACTGAACTCCATCTTGCTCAACAACCAACTATTTCACTAACCCTGTAAGACACCACAACAAAATGGTGTTGTAGACAGGATGAACCAGACTCTGATATCAGTTGTTGGGGAAGTCTAGAGAACGAAGTTCGAAAGTGTCAATGGACCAAACGTTCATAGTTACAAGAGACCTTGACGCAACATATTCATCCAAAACCTTAAGGCAATTGGGGTATAGGTCAGCTCTCTTATAAATCCAACATTTCCTCCATTCCAAGTCGATGTGGGAATTTATCACAACTTTCACACTTTAAATTCAACAATCTCCCCCACAAGTGTGAGTCACCAACATCACTAGCCTTGATCCACACTAAGATCTACTTCCGCTCATCCACTGAGCCAACAAAGCTCTGATACTACTTGTTGGGAAAGTCTGGGGAGCGAGATCTGGAAGTGTCAATGGGTCAACTTTCATGGTTACAAGAGACCTTGACGCCACATATCCACCCAAAACCTTAAGGAAATGAGGGTATGGATCACCTCTCTTGTAAACCCAACATTTCTTTTATTCTTAGTCGATGTGGGACTTCATCACAACTTTCACACTTGAAACTCGACAGAGATAGATTAAATGCACATATTGCCAACGCTAATGACATATCATCAAGACCATTCTCTTACTTTTATTAAAATAGTCAGTCAAAAGATATATCTTGCAAGCCCCTATTCTACGAAATAGAAAAAGGGTTTAGGGAAAAATGTTTTGAACTATTTCCAAGAGCCATAATGAAAGGCTCAAGATCGAACCTCGAGTGGAAAGGCGTAGAGGAGGTAAACCTTTGTTATAACCATAAGCTTGAAATTCTGCCCTCCAACACATCAATCATCGTCTGAGCTCGTTCGACGGCCGTTCACATAACACGTCGCGTCATACTCGAGCAATTTCAACTACTCTTATATGTTAGGATAAAACGTGTCATTTCAGATATTCAAATTCATTATTCTATACACATTACTTCTGATTTTTTTCACTGACTTAGACGTTGATCTTATCCACCGCATTAAAAATACAAATTCATTATAGCAAGGCACAACTTCGCTACCTCACATTTCATTTCTAATTCCTATCTGAACAATTTTAAACTTTAGTTTCACATTTACAAACAACTCATTTTATATTTAACTTATGACCTAAATTTAACAAGCTAATAGATGTATTTCGAACTAAGTCAAAATTGGCATGATTTCCAATCCTAACCACTAATAACTATAAAAAATATGGTCCAGTTGATTCTGACCATCGACTAATTTCCCCTATTTATTCCGAAGAGTTGGTAGCATATGTGAGTGTAAACATGGAAAAGTTGAAATTGACTACTTATACATACTTGATGTTTGTACATGTATCTACACAAAGTTTTCTTGTTATTGAAGTTTATGGTAAGGAAGTCACCATTACAGAAACCCAAATATTCCACATTTTTATTTAACATTGATAATAAAAGACAGCTAATAAGATAGATAGGCTTAAATTTGAGCATTACATGATACTCACACAATGGTTGACCAAAGAAATTTCTTGGAAATGTAACACCTCTTTAAGCCATGTCAACATAACAAATTGATTAAACCATATATAATCCCTAGTAGATACTCATGAATTTAGGTGAACAATAATAATAATACATTAATCAAACTAATGAGATTAGATCAGAAACATAACATGTGCTTAGGTTCCTTATGATTTCATCAAGATTGATTGTTATATTAAGCACCGTATATAGTGTTAGATTAAAACTATGAGAATAATTAACATGTTGGATATGATCACGTGGAAGTCCAAAAGAGTGTCTTGTCTGTTTTATATTACAGAAATTATTAAGAAGCTAAGAGATTTGGTTTGGTTGCACATGAATGTTGTTTCAATTTCTGGTGTCTTTCAGACATTTGTTCAATAAATTAAGAGTTTGGAGAGATTATGTAAACGCTAGAATGGACACAATGCATCCAGTGACAGCATGAGCTAGCTAGCTCTGGCTTACTTGGGAAACGAATCTC